CTCGCCGCCCCGCCGGCGGCTGCGGCTGCCGGGCCCCATGTGCCGCGCGGCGGCCCGGCCGGAGCCGGGGCAGGGCCCCGTGCTGCTCTTTGGAGCAGGATTTTCCCCCTTGGCTCTGCTCCGTTTGGCTTTTCTGTAATTGGAGCTTTTGCTATTTAAAACAAACAAACAGCCCCAAATCGGGGGTGTTTGGGAGCGCCGGGGTGCTGGAGCGGTACGTATGTGCAGTGGGCGGGCGGGCGGCGCGAGGGTGCGCGGGGCCGCGTGCTGCTCCGTGCCGCGCGCCCTGGCCGGGACCGGGTGCGATTCCCACGGCTCCAGGTCCAGGGGAATGCGCAGGCTTCGCCATAAAGCCTGCCCAAACCTCCCTGCCGCCCGGGCTGCGTGGAGGTCCCGGGACACGGCTGCGTGGATGCTCCCGCGGTGGAATCGCTGGGCGGGGAGGCCGTCCCGTGGGCTGGTGTCTGCGGGATGAGACGGGACAGGAGGGGATGAGACGGGATAGGATGGGATGAGCTGCCTCTGGCTCCCTGCGTCCAGGAGACTAATGGCTTTTTCTCTCTTCCCAAGGTAGCGCTTTGTGCTGGAGCGAGTCCCCGCGCTGCCGGGTGGGAAGGGCTGCGGAGCCGGTGGCTCACGGGATGCGGGCAGGGATGGGGACGAGTCGCCCCCCACACGGTGCCAGCTCCTTCCCTCCTGGGACCCTCTGGCCTAGGGCAGAGCCGGCCGCACTGGCCTCCACGCTGCTCCCCAGCCTCCACCATGAGGTTTCCCCACTCTTCCTTTGGGAGCATCTTCAGTCCTTGGGGTTTTCGCTCTTGAAAATCCCAAGTGCCTTGTGGGTTTCTCCGTGAGTCACACTGAGAACCCCCTGGCTTGCCTTGGTGACTTGCTGCTCAATGTCCTTTTCTCTTTTTATCTTCTCCTCCCGTGCTGGTTCCATCACCTTTGTCAAGCCCCAGCTTGACTTTCTACCCAGCTCATGGAAGCACCTAGGGACTGGGCTCCGCAGGGCTCAAGTGTGTGCATGGAGTGCCGTGGCTGCTCAAATGCACCCACTAACTGGTTTCAGTGGGTGCTCTGCAGCCCCAGAGCTGTGGCAGATGCTCTGGGAGGTCCCGACTTTCCCTCCTCTTTCACAGAGGGTCTCTGGAAGCAGCTCGTGGTGCTTCCATGCTGGTGCTTAGTGTGCGCGCCCCAGGGCCCCTCTGCTCGTGACAGATGCCACCTTGCAGATGAGGCTGCTGGCAGGGCTCTGGGCATGAGTTCCTGTTGCAATAGGTGAATTTGGGGCTGCAGCTCTGTGCCAGCCCGGCTGGATTCACCCAAAGCAGGAGGGGAACAGGGCACAGGGAACAGGGCAAGAGTCCAGGGAGGTCAGAAGAGCCTCTGGCACTGCCAGGAATCACGCACGCTTGGCCCAAGGGCAGGGGCTGTGCTGGCCAGCGGGTGTCTCGCCCAGGGCACCCTCCATGCCCTGGTGACGCCCGCCCAGGCTCCCCAGGATAAGGACGAGCAAGGACACGAGGACAAGGTGCACGTGATCCCCGGCTCCGCGCGAGCCCCGGCACCGAGCGCCGCTCCCCGAGGTGCTCGTTACGGGAAGAGACCCAAATGCACTGCGAGAAGCTGCCTTTGGCCTCCTTTCTCAGCCTCCTTTCGTGCGCCCCGAGCCCGGACGTGCCCCGCTAGCTAGAACAGGGTTTCTAGCGACGCGGGAGCCCGGAGCGGCGCTCCAGCCTCTGCGCTGCGGTGCACTGGCTGTCGGGAGAACCGAGTGTTTTCTCCTCGTGAGGGTAAACACTCTCATTTTTTAGATGTTTTGTCCAAAAAAAAAAAAAAAGAGGAATTTTGGACCTTCCATATCTTCTGAACATCAACCACAGCCTGATGGTTTGGTGTGGTTGGAAGTGAATTTAGCCAACCGCGTTCCTTACGAGGAGGCCACGTGTGCACGTTGGTGCCTCCACTGGCACCTGGAGCTGCCGAGGAGGGCAGAAGAGGAGCTCCAGGGAGGTCCTGCCACGTCAGCGCCACCACCGCGTCACCGCTGGAATAAAAAAGCCAGCAAAGACGAGGGTTTGCAAGGGCCCTAACCCTTCTCCCCTTGTGTCTCTTTCATCTCCAGTCAAACCAGCAAGGTCGTACTGGCCTTTCCTCCCTAAGGTAAATGTAGAGGCTGCTCCTGCAAGGGAAGGGTCAGTTCAGCCCTAGCGTTGGGCTTCCCATCTCCAGCAGCATGGTGCCTCCGGGGAAAAAACCGGCTGGGGAGACTTCCAACTCCAACAAAAAGTGTAAGCGCTATTTCAATGAGCACTGGAAGGAGGAGTTCACCTGGCTGGAGTTCGACTACGAGCGGAAACTCATGTTTTGCCTAGAGTGTCGCCAGGCGCTGGTGAAGAACAAGCACGGTAAAGCGGAGAACGCCTTTACCGTGGGCACGGACAACTTCCAGCGGCACGCTCTGCTGCGGCACGTCACGTCGGGCGCTCACCGCCAGGCGCTGGCCGTCAACCGCGAGCACTCGGCCTCGGAGGCGCGCGGCCGCGCGGAGCTGCAGCCGCTCCTCAAGGTGGAGGTGAGCCCTGCCAAGATCGCCATCCTCACCACCGTCTACTGGATGGCCAAGGAGGAGATCCCGCTCGAGAAGGTCTCCTCCCTGCTCGAGCTGCAGAGGTTCAACCTGTGCCAGGCGCTGCTCACCTCGGAGCACAGTGACTATTACCGTCCCGGCAGCGTTCGGGAGATGCAGGTGCGTATGCGGGACGGGACCTGTCCCAACTCTTGTCCCTCACCTTGCTGTGGTCCGTGGCCCCATGGGTGCAGGCCAGGGGCACTGGGTGCTTTGCACCGCATCGCTTTGCCCGGCACCGAGTGCCTGGGGCTGGATCTGACCCTTGGGACGCAGGGAGCCTTTGGTGCGGGCTCGGGAGCCCAGTTCTCCCGCGAGCGCCGCGACGTTTCCCTCTTTCGCCCTAAACGGAGCGATCAGAGAGAGCAAGTAGCCAGAGAGTTTTAGAAAGGATTTTCTTGATTTTACAAATGCTCCTTGCCTGTTAAAACCAAATTAATTTTTTAGTGAATCTTGGCTGTTTGCCAGGCGCGTTAGCTATCTAAGGAGCCTTATTTGAGTGCAGATAGGTTAAAGCCCTTAATTAGGTTTCTCAGCCTGGAGCGCTACTCGCAGCGTTTGTACCCGGGGGACGTTGTCCCTTGGAACCAGGGGTGTTTGAGCAGAACGGGCAGAGCGGCCGAGGGCAGGGAGAGGCCCCGGTGTCCTGCTGCTGCTCCTGCCTGGGCTTCTTTCAGTGCATGGAGGTAATTGAGGGAATTACAGCAAAAAAAAACGCGAGTTTGGGGTGTTCTGAACCGCATCTCAGGAGGAGAGGTGGGTTCTGCCTGGAGGTGCCTGCGGGCAGTGGCCGGTGCCACGTCCAGCCCAGCCCGTGTGCTCAGTCTGGACGAGGACTTTGCTGAGCCAGAACCTGGATGTTCCTGAAGGCGAGGAGGGAATAGAGGAATTTGCTTGTGCACACAGCTTTTGTCACATTAGAGGGATAAAATTACCTTTGAGATCCGTGGCCATGATATGAGGTATCGTTGCCGTCTGGGGTCGTTTTTGGTGTTACAGCCCGGCCCTTTGGTGGAAGTGATGGGCAAAGGAGACCCAGCAAGTTGTGAACTAAGGTGCAAGGACCTAGAAGCGCCCGATGCCTTGAAGGAAGGTCCGCATGGATCCTTCGCTTTTCCCGGGAAGCAGGTTGAGTGCAGGGCAGCGCTGGGTCCCGCGTGGCCACCGCGCCATCCTGAAGCCGTTTTCCTTCTCTCCCCGTCGTGCCGCCGTCCCGCTGCGACGCAGGCCGCCATGGCCAAGGTGCTGCAGCGCGAGGCCCGGCGCAGGATCGAGGCGTCGCCCTTCGTGGGGCTGCTGGTGGAGGAGACGGCGGACGCCGCGGCCGTGTTCGGCACCACCGTGTCGCCGCGCAGCGGGCAGCCCTCGGCCGCCTTCCTGGGGAGCTTCGCGGGGCAGCCCGGGGCGGCGGCGGGCGCGCTGGCCGAGGCCATGCGCCGCTTCGGCATCGCCACCGGCCA